GGGCCTTCTACACCCTCCACCTGGGGCCCACAGCACCAGGCACTCTCCGTGAGCCCATTGTGAGACTTTTTCCCTAAAGGATACAGGCAAATGTGAAAGAAGTTTCAGTTGAGCCACCCCTAGACCCTTCAGGAGGGCACTGTTTGAAGAAGAGATTTATATATAACCTTTTGAAACAAGCTAAAATGCAAGGTAGAGAACAGCATCTGTGGTCAACTACCATTCCTGTAAAAACAAAAAAGAAGTGGAGCATCTACACTGGGTGTGTGTGTGGAGAGTGGGGGAGTGGTGTATATATCTGGAAGAACACACAAGAAGCTGATAACTGCGGTGTCTGTGGGTACAAAAATAGGAAAAAGGGGTCAGAAGAAGTATGAAGAACTGAATTTTTTCTGTACATTCTTTTGTACTATTTGGATTTTTTTTTCCATGTGCATGTTTTTCAAAATAATTTTAAGGAGTTTGTTTACTCATTCAACAAACATTTATGGAGTGGGTGTCAGGCATTGAAGAATGAGACAAAGGGAAAGTCAAGCCCTGACTGTTCCCTGACCTGAGGAGCATACCAGTACTGGGAGGTGGAGGTGGGACACCCAAACTGAGACCCTGAGAAGGAGGAGGCACCACTAACTGAACATCAGGACCACAGTATAAAATGAGGCTGAGCCAACCAAGATGTTCAGCTGGCCCAGACAGGATAGCACCAACCCATAGTCAGAACACAGAGCTGGAAAAAAAGAGAGGCATAGTAACTGTGGGAGAGGAAGCTGACAATCAGGGCAGCTTCATGGAGGAGACTCTTAAAGGGTAGGTGAGATTTAGATGGTAGAGTCAGGGGAAAGCAAGACAAAATATCCCCAAGATTCTACACCCCAGCTCCCAGTACTGGAGATCTGAGGATACATCACACCCATGAATACATTATCCATGTTAGTCAGCCTGGGTTGCTATAACAGAAATACTGTAGACCGGATGTTAAACAGTAGGCACTTACTTCTCTAGTTCCGGAGGCTGGAAGTCTTAGATCAGCATGCCAGCATGGTCAGGTTCTGGTGAGCCCTCTCTTCCTGGCTATGTCCTCACATGGTAAAGAAAGAAAGAACTCATATGAATTTGGGGAGAAGGAGGGCATATCATTCTGTCCCTAACATCACCGTAGTGGAAAAAGGGACTTAGCAGATATAATTAAGGTTACTAATCAGTTGACATCAGTAGGGAGATAATCCTGGATTGTCTGTGTAGGCCCAGAGAAATCAGTGAAGTCTCTAAAGTAGAAACAGAAGATATGGCAAGAAGTTCAGAGATATCTGAGGCTTGAGAAAGACCTGACATGCTATTTCTGGCTTTGCAGATGGAGAAGCCATGTGACTAGGAATGTGGGTAGCCTTCAGGAGCCAAGCAAACATCCTTGACTGACAACCAGTGAGGAAATATGGACCCCAGTCCTACAACCACAAGGAGCTAAACTAGGCACAACCCAAATGAGCTTGGGGCAGATTTTTCCCCCAAGTCCCCAGATGAGAGCCCAGACTGGTCAACACCTGAATTTGTGGTAATTTGCTACATGGCAATTGAAAACTAACAGGGAATCTCCTCTAGGGGGAAGATCTCTTATTGTGGGGAGCTGTAATCATGAAAACAAATACCTACAAGAGCCGCAAGAAAGCAGGCCCACCTGGGGGCAAACAGTGTAGGCTTGAAGAGACTGGGCCAATGAAACTCATCCTGGGAGTTAGGGAGGCTGCACGGAGATGGGCCCCAGGCTTGTCTGGAGCACTCACCCGACTTCCCATCCCTCAACCTGTTGCCTGGTAGGAATATGGGCTCAGTGTGACCAAATAATCCAATTTTTTCAAAAGCATCCCCAAATCCAATTTTTATATAAAATATTGTCATTTGAACTTTAGAAACACTGTGCCAGCCAAACCTGTGCACATCAAGTAACACATAGTTATGTTTCTGAGTCAGATATGACCTTCTAGGGCATCAACTGCATGTAAGAGAACTGCATGTCCCTAGAACACTGAAAGCCTTGAGTGTGCATTTTTTTAGAGGCAACAGGGAGCCAGGGAAAGTCCCCTCTTTACTCTTATCCAAAAACAAAAGGAAACTCCCGTGTGGAAAGCCCACCAGGGCCAGTGACTATGCTGGGCTGTGACCTTCCTGGAGCTGCCCAGCAACCTAATGTCATCAGGATTACTGGCCTCCTTTCCAGACAAGGCAGCTGAGTGCAGAGCAGTACAGTGACTGCCTGTGATCCCATGGATGTGATGTGGCGACCCTGAGCTCAAACCTGTTTCTGATCCAAAATGAGTCCTTCCAGCTGCTCCATATGGTATTCTGGCATTGAGCGATTTTGTTCCTTTCGACTGAAAAGGGGTTTGCTCTCACGTTCCCAAGGCCTGAGCTCTTCCCTCACTTGTTAGACAACTCCCTCTCCTTTCCAAGGCTTCGGCTCTTCCAACACCCCAGCATCCACTGTGGTGGCTTCCCTTCCACCTCCTACATCCCAGCCTTTCAGATTCCACTCCCACTGCTCATTTGTAACTCAGTCTCTCAGCTTCCCAATTCCAAATTCCTGAGAAAGGGATCTAATTGTTCCAGGTCAAGTTTTTGTCCCAAGTTGTAACAGGTCATATGTGTTGGCCAGCCTATAGGGTAGGCCTCCCTTTGGTCAGATGCCTGCCCAGTTCCCAGGTGTGGCCCTCTGACATCTCACACCTCACACCCTCCCTCCATCTCCTACCCCATCTCTAAGCAACCCCCAGAAGTGTCTACAAGTTCAGGCTATGAGCAGAACCACTTAGGGAATAGGCTCGGTGAGTCATTTCCCTAAAAATAGCATCACAAACACCTGCCTCGCCGAGCCTGATGCTCGGAAATACAGCTTGAACAGAAGTGCCTGGAAGCAAGTCAAGGGCCCACAACAGAATCCGAGTCAGTATGAAGCCAGTGCACCCACACTGCCCTGGGCAGGGCACCCAACGAATCGCCTACCAACTCAGGCAAGACACCAGGAAGTGCTCCACATCGCCACCCACGAACCCTTAGCAATGCTTATCTCCAGAGGGGACTGTGCACTGGACGAATGGCCTCTTGTTTCCCAGTGAGGGAATGAGATTTTGTTAACATCAAGCCCTCACTCTTTCTTGGACACAGAGAACTTAGGAAGCCCTCTGCGAAGCCATCCAAATCAGAAAGGGGTTGGAAAGGTAAACACGTGATGAAGTCAGAGAAATTGTTTTGCCCAGAGAAGGATCGAGTTTTAAATCCTTTTTATAAGCCTTCAATTTGAATGGAGAACAGCAGGTTTTTAAAGAGCATTATTGAGTTTATATTGACACTATTAACATGCAATAAACTGCCTATGTGTATATAAAGTACACAATTTGATATTTGACATATATATATATACACACACATGTGAAACCATCACTACAATCAAGATAACAAATATATTATTATATCCATTTCCCCCAAGTTTCCTTGTAGCCATTTATAATACCCCCTCCCAACCCTGTCCCCACTCCCCATCTTTGTCTCTTAGCAACCACTGATCTTTTTTCTGTCACTACAGTTTGCATTTTCTAGTACGTTACATAAATAGAATCATATAGTACATACTTGGTTTTCTCTGGCTTCTTTCACTTGACACTACTCTGATATTCATCCATGTTGTAGTACAAAAATCAATAATTCATTCTTTTTACTGCTAAGTAGTATTCCAGGGTATGATATACCATGATTTATTTATCCATTCACCCACTGATGGACAGCTGTCTTATTTAAATTTGGGACTGTCACAAATACAGCTGCCATGACCATTCATGTACACATTTTTCCATGTGTACACATGCTTTCTTTCCTCTTGGGAAAATACCTAGGAATGGAATAGCTGGTCAAGCATGGCTGTTTAATTAAACTTCCAAATGGGTTTCAGGGTGTCCACACTGTGTATATTTAACCTATAAGATATAGGTACACACAGCTCACAAGGGAACAAATGACCTAAACCCACCCATATGGAGGTCACATCAGGCTGCAGCCAGTTTCATTCTAGTCCTCCCAATGTGTGGAGAGGGCTCCCAGAAGAGAAAATCTCCCAGGATAACCTCTGATTTTGTACAATGTTCAGTGCACAAACTCCTGACTTCAGAAATGGCTCAAAAGAGGGAGGAGATCTCTAGGAGATAATAGCAACATCTCATTGGTCTAGAGAATAGTCACAGTCAATACTGAAAGCTACAGCATGGACTACAGCAGGGTTTTCCAAGGGTGGTCCCACCAGTAGCACCTGGGAACTTGTTAGAAATGCCCATTCTCCCCGCCCAGACCTACAAAGTTGAAACCCTGAGGTGGAGCCAAGCAATCCAAGCTTTCACAAGCCTTCCAGGTGCTGTGATGTAGCCTAGAACCTCTCAAGCTCTTGGACTCTCCTGGAATTCAGGGCATCAGAAGCCATAATACCAATTTCTCACCCCCTCTATTGCCTGTTCCACCCACAGCTGTGAAGCCCACATTCTTAGAGCTCTAGAAACATAAAGTCTCCTCGAAGAACCAAGTTACCAACTAGGATACAAACCTGCACAATGATGGTTAACACTTGTCTCCCCCAAAGCACCAAACTAAGAGTCAAACAAAACAAAACAAAAAAACAAATCCTTAGGAACTCAATCACTGGAGCTTTTAAATCCAACTGTCAAAGTCACCAACTTCTCTCCTTGTGATTTTCACCCTAGCATATTACGGCATAAATGAATCTAAGACAAGAAAAAGACAAAGGTTTTAGGTGATACACTCCAACACTCTTTACTGCTCTAGAATCCTTGCCACAAATTCACACATCAGCAGGAAAATTATTCAAACTTGAATAGGAAGTATTTGAGCAAAAATATTGGATATTTTTTGTTTAAATCTTCAGATTAAGCATAATTTCCACTCAACATTATAACTGGAGAGAAATCCTGATCATTTCCCTGGTATTTCTGCATGCTTAAAATTTAGCCCAGTCTTTGAAAACCCTCTCCAAGCAGACCTTTGCCACTCACTTTGAACTTACCAGCAAGGAAAGCTTTCTGAGGGCTTGTTTTACCCAAAACTAGCTCCATTAAGAGAGGCTCTGGGATCTTGAAGAGAGCATCTGCCAGGAGGCTGGCAGATCCTGGATATATGTCCCCAGAACTATTCTTCAGATTAATGGTCCATTTCAGAATGGTCTTCCCATCTTTGGTGATGTCCAGCTGAAAGATGGCATTGACTTTCTTCACCAGTTGGTCCCCCTCTTCTCTGAGGTGATAGCTGATGCCCTGGAACACTGGGAAGCTCTGGAATTCTGACAGCTCTAGAGGGTATGGCGTGGCAGGGGCCCAACCTGTTCCCAGCAGAAGTCCATCCCCTGCTTTGATCTGAGGTTGATGGCCATTTCTCTTCCACATTTTACTGTGCTGGTCCTCTTGACCTTACCATCTGGTCTGTGAGCTGCTGAGACCAGGTTAATATCTGCAGGTTCAATTGTGACATTAAAGTTAAGGCCCAGGCAGGGGAGGCTGGTGGGGGTGCTGCAGTCTTATTGGCCAAACAGATGCTGAAGTGTGACATGAGGTAATGCCTCAGAGAGGTAATTGTGAGGCTGATCCATACCACCACCCCCCAGACCAATCAGAGCTGTCGGTCTCACAAGCCCAGAAAGGTCTGGACCCCATGCTAGTAATAACTGAAGGTACTTTGGTGACATGAGCTCTGTCTTCCCACTGCAGGAATCTCCCAGCAGCAGCCCCAAGTCAGGGAGCAGTTACTCCGATTCCTTCAAAGGTGGAGGGTCCTTAAGGCACAGATCATGGTGCCAGATTTGGCTTTACCTGGCTGCTAGTGGAGGGGGGAAGGCTTTGAGGTAAAAAAGCGGGTTGGAGAAGGAACCAGCACCAGGACCTGCATCAGAAAGCTTCCCGAGGCACAGTGAGAGTAAAGAAAGAAAGAAAGAAAGAGTCCTAAGATCAGCAGAAATGGTTTCTTGTAATATTACATACTAACTGCATATAATATTATAGCCCTTATTCTAAACCAAGGCACTCTCCCAAGCATGTACATATATTAACATGTTTAATCTTCATTACAACCCTGTGAGGGAGGTGTCATTTTATCCCTATGTTACAGAGGAGGAAACTGAGGGAGAGAGAAATGAAGTGATTTGCTCAAAGTTACACAGCTAGCTGGTAAGGTAGCCAGGCGTGCACAGAGGTAGAATGACTTTTTTTCTTTTTCTTTTGAAATTATTTCAGACTTAGAAAAAGGTTATAAAAAGAGTAGAGTTCCTGTATCACCTGTACTCCACTTGCCCAAATATTAACATCTTATATGCCACAGTAAAATGTTCAAAACCAGGAGATTAACACTGGCACAATACTATTAGCTCATCTATAGGCAATATTCACACTTTGCCAATTGTCCTAATAATGTCCAGAACCCAGATTCTGGCCCAGGATCCCACACTGAATTTAGTTTTATGTCTTCCTTGTGCCCTTCCACATGGGGGTTTTACAGTTTTTATCTATCAGAACCTTGACATTTTTGAAGAATATTGGCCATATATTCTGTAAAACGTCCTTCATTTGAGGTCTGTCTGATGTCTTTCCAGGATTAGGTTGAGTTAGGCGTTTCGAGCAAGAATACACAGAGGTCATCTTGTGCCCTTCTCAGTGCATGTATCAGGAGTAGAGGGCATTAATATGTCCCATCACCAGTGATTATTGGCACCAATATGTCCTACCTGGTTAAGATCATGTCCATCAGATTTCTCCACTGCAGTTACTTTTTTTCCCTTTGAAATTAGTATCTTAGGGGAGACAGCTTGAGACTTTGAAAATACCCAGTTTCATATCATACTTCAGCCCACTCCTTTTTGCATCCATCCGTGGTCCATCAGTGCAATGTGTACTTAATGGTCATTTTCTATTTCCATCACTCCTTTTAGATTTAACAAGTGGAATTCTGCTGCAAGGAAAAACTTTCCCTTCTCCCCCATTTCCTTATTTGTTCAACTATGTATTTATCTCAGTATAGACTTGTGGATATTTATTTTATTCTGTGGTTCATTATTATTAACATTATTTTCTTGCTCAAACTGTCCCAGGTTTGACCACTGGGAACTCCATCAAGTTGGTGCCTATGTCCTTTCCTAACCATCCTGCTCTTACATGTAAGTGAAGCTACATTAAATGGAGTAGCTTTGTTCTCCCTGGGAGGAATGAAGACAACTTTGAAATGTTTGGTAAACTTTCTTTGATATATGATGATGAGCTGGTATTCTAAACATGGAGCAGTTAAACAAAACCCAGTGGCTTCCAAAACCAGTCTTTACCCTGAGGCCACCAGGTATAGACAACATCTGCATAAAGAATTTAAGATGAAGAGGCAGGCAATTCCCCAGAAAGTTTGCTGTGAGCAATCAACAGAAAACTGAGCCCTAATGCCGCCTGCCACCTGTAACTGCTTTTCCCCAGGGGTGGGGTTGTCCTTTCTGAATTACTCATATGGGTCCCCAACTGGACTGCCGCTCCTGCCTCAGCGTGTCAGAGGGGAACACAGTTCCACCATACATGTCCCCTTCATGAGTTTCTATCTTATATAGGTGAGTATTTCCACCATTACAGGAATGCCAGTAGGAATGAAAGGTTCTCAATATCATTAGTCACTGAAAATATACAAATTAAAACTTCAATGAGTTACCTCTTTCCATCCACTAAAATGCCTAATATTGGAAAGATGACAATGGCAAGTGTTAGCAAGGATGTGAAGCAACTGGAATTCTTGTGCACTCCTGGTGGGACTGCAAAATGGTGCTGCTACTGTAGAAGACTCCTTGGTAGGGTTGTATAAAGTCAAGCATACACTTACCATACAACCCACAAGCCCCACTCTGAAGTACTTATGAAAGAGAAATGAAAATAGATGTCTACGAAAAGACATATAATGACTGTTCCCAGAAGCATTGTTCATTACATCACTGGGGACAATCCACATCTTTTCTATGTTGTTCACCTTCTGTTCATCAACAGAAGATTGGATAAACAAACTGTTAAACAGTCACAGGCTGTAATACTACTTGGCAACAAAAAGGAACAAGCAATTGATTCACTCTCCAACATGAGTGAACTTCAGGTGCGCGGTGCTGAGGGACAGGAGCCAGATTCAAAGGAAGACATGCTACATGATTCCATTTGTACGGCATCCTAAAAATGGAAAAGCTTATAGGAACAAAAAAATTGACCAACTGTTTGCAGAGATTGGGAGTGAAGAGTTGGTTTGTTTAACAAGAGACACAGTTTTTTTTTTGGTGGGGGGCAGTGATGGAACTTTTCTTAGTGGTAGGGGTAGTTACAGAATTGTGTACATCTGTAAACTCCAGAACTGTACACTAAAAGGGATGAATTTAAGCATGTAAATTATACTTCAACAAGCCTGGCTTTAAAGACAAAAAGATGTGTGGGCGGATTTGCTTTGCTGATGGTTTGTGCTTTCGAAAGCACTGGTCACAAGCCATATCTAAAATACTGGATCTTTATTTTTTTAATCACTTCCTATGTATTGCTATTGTACTATGATGCAAAATTTAAACTTTTTACTTACTTCTATGTCATTCAACTCTTGCTACATTATGTGGCAAAGCAAACAACCTCAAATTTTCCGCAGCTAGCACATTAACCAGTTCATTCCTCATGACTCTGGGTGGCAGGAGTCAGCTGGCCTGGGCTGAGACTAGCTAGGCTACTCTCCTGGGACACGTGTCTCTCAGCCTCTCTCCAGCACCAGGGGCCAGCTAGGCACATGGTTCCCCTGGCAATGGCAGAAGCACAAGAGCAGCAAGCTGACCCACAGCCTCTGAAGGCCCAGCCTCAGCCCTGGCTCACCCGCACTTGCAAAGGCAACTCTCAGAGCTAGGCCCAAAGTCAATGGCTGGGAGAATACACACCGCCCATGAGACCATGCAGGGGCATGAGGCAGGGAGGGGAGAAAAATGGTCCAACAACGTAATCTGCCACAGCTACTGACAGATAAAAAGGAAGCAGATTTAAGATGCAGATTTCTGGCTTTTCTGATGCATGGAAATATCCATAACCTGGACCTGAATTGCCATCTGGCAACAACTGGCCAGTGTTGAAAAAGGTGAGGCTGCACCCTTCAGGCAGGCAGGGCTCCCCATGCTCACAAGTCATTGTCATCTGCCTAAAACCTGATGACCCCTCTCCTAAAGGCCAGGTGCTCTGAGGAAATGTTCCAGAATTCCTGAGATCTTTTCTTCAGTAGATTTTACCAGAAGGCCACAATACTTTAGACAATGTGAGTATTTAAGTACCCCTAAGTTTGCCATCATACCCATTCATTCAACAAATATTTAGAGAGATTTACCTTGTGGAATGCATTGGGATAGGCATTGTTAAGAATACACACAGACAGAAAAGAAGTGTTGACAAGGATGTGGAGAACTGAACTCCTTGTGCACTGGTGGTGGGGATGTAAAATGGTGCAGCTGGTATGAAAACTGGTACGGAAGCTCCTCATCAAATCAAACATAGAATTATTATGTGACCTGGCAATCCCACTACTGGGTATGTACCCAAAATGACTGAAATCAGGCACCTAAACAGATATGTGCACATGGACATCCATGCTCATAGAGACATTATCCACAACAGCTAAGAGATGGAAACAATTCAAGTGCCCATAGACATATGAAGATAAATAAAATATGGTACATATGCACAATGGGATATATTATTTAGCCTTAGAAAGGAATGAAATCCCTATACATGCTACAACATGGATAAATCTTGAAGACATTATGCAAAGTAAAATAAGCCAGACACAAAAGGACAAATAAAATATGCTTCTATTTATATGAGGTACCTAGAACAGTCAAATTTACAGAGACAGAAAATACTACAGTGGTTGCCAGGGACTGGAAGGAGGGGGAAATGGATAATTCTTGTTTAATGGGTACATACTTTCAGTATATGGGAAGATGCAAAGTTCTGGAGATGGACGGTGGTGATGGCTGCAGAACAATGTGAACATACTGACACTGAACTGTGTATTTAAAAAGGCTAAAATGATAAATTTTATGTTACGTACATTTTACCATAAAAAAATATACAAAGGAAAGTAAATATGTCTACAAAGCAGCTTACAGCCTAGTAGGAGAGAAAAACATATATATAAATACCTGCTATATTCAGCAAACTATTCTCAGGATTTTAAAATATGTTCAGTCTTCAACACTTTCCCTTTGAAAGATGGAAGCTAATTCCCCTCCCCTAAGGGTGGGCTATACCTAGTGACTTATTTCTATTAATTACAGTGTGGCAGAGTGAAGGTATATGGCACCCAAGATTAGGGCATAAAAAGCTCTGTGGTTTCCTGTTTGCTCTCTCTTGAATCA